CTACAGTGCATGCTTACAGGAAATAACCATCCATCCATCCATCCACCTACAGTGCATGCTTACAAGAAATAACCATCCATCCATCCATCCATCCATCCATCCATCCATCCATCCATCCATCCATCCATCCATCCATCCATCCATCCATCCATCCATCCACCTACAGTGCATGCTTACAGGAAATATCTGTCCATCCATCCGTCCATCCATTGATCACCCACTTCTTCCTTTTTGGGTTATGGGGATCACTGGTGCCTGTATTCAACCTTCACTGTGGGGGACACCTGGACAGGTCTCCAGTCCATCACAGAGACACATAGAGACAAACGAGACAACCATTCTTTCTTTCTCTCACCTAGGGATAATTCAGAGTTACCATCAGTCTAACATGCATGTTTTTGGTCTGTGGGAGGAAACTGGAGTACTTGGAGAAAACCCACGCAGCACAGAGAGAACATGCAAACTCCACCCAGAAAGGGCCCTGGCCGGGATTTGATCCAGCGACCGTCTCATTGAGAGGCGGCAGCTCTACCAACTGTGCCACCGTTCCGCTGTACAGGAAACATTCCTAATAATTAATATAATTGATGACATCAGAAACTAAAGAGCCACCATGGGCAGAAAGGATATGTGTACTCTGTACTGTGTTTATTTGTACTTTGTACTCCGCAGCACGTGATATCAGTGATACTAGAGTATTAGCATAAACATTGAGTAGTCTCTGTCTTGGAAATGTGAAGGTTCTTCTCCTGGTTTCTCCTGATTTCCATAATCTCTGGGAACCCTGTACATTAATAAATAAATATATTTAAACAATCTTTTTTCTTCATGTCATTCTGCAGAAGCTGCCTGTCGCCACCTGGTGTCTTTTTATCAAACTTTCAAAAGAACAAGAAGCAAATGTGAAGCGTTTACTGATCATGTGCAGGTGGTATTTGTTGTGTATATGCAGGATTTAAACATAAAGGAAGGTAAAAGATAAGTAGTATTTTTTTAAGTTTAGAGGCTTTTCCAGTATTTTTCATCAAGACCCAAAACGAGCACTTATTCTTGTGAAAGTGGACCGACTGTGCTGTAGCTAGATTTTAATTAAAACTGCTGAAAAAATGAATATCATTAAAAACCATAAACCTTAAAGAAGGTTTGTATAGAAAACAAAATTATTTTTAAATAGAAAAACAGAACAAAAATAAATAAGTAAAAACAAATAGGCAAAGCTACATCTTTATGCAAAGTTACAACATTAGTTTGAATATAAATGAAAAGCATGATCTCTGCATTATCTTAAAATCTCCCCCTGGGATTCATAATGCATCTATCTATCTATCATGACTGAAGGGTTTCGTTAAACCAAGATAAAGATGGACAACTCTGAAAGTGCAAATGAAATAAAAAGACATGAACATGACACAAACAACACATAAGAGGTTTGAGCTCGTGGTGGGCAGCTTCAATGTGAACCCCTGAGCTGCTCAGTCAAATCATTCCTGAGGTTATTTAGGCGTCACTGTGCCAGACAGAACTCCAGCTCACTTCTTCACAACATCCTCCAGATCTAATTTGCATTTACATTTAATAAAGTTTAAAAGAAAATAAAAATAAAAAAGACTTGATGGAGATCAAGTCAAGATCAAGATCAAAGATGGAGGCTGTGGGGGGGGGGGGGGGGGGGGGAGACTTATGCGTCTATGTAAAGGTTGGTGCACGAACTGTATTCTGATAAACAGTACCTGCTCTGAGGCTGTAGAACAACTTACTGTGAAATGTCGGCCACATTATTTATCTCGTGAGTTTACGGCGGCGTACAGCTCCAGCTGCTGAAGATAAAGATGCTCTGCAGGAGCTACGTGACATCAGCTCACTCCAAAACAAGCATCCGGAGGCTTTTTACGTGGTGGCTGGTCATGGTCCACATCAAAGCATCGACACCAGCAAGGATCCACACCAGTATGCATACCACAAGAACTGATCAGCAGAAGACACCATCTCCACTGTGGTCCACACTGCTCTCGCCCACCTGCAGCAGAAGGACTCCTACGTCCGTATGCTCTTTGTGGACTTCACATCTGCTTTCAACACTATGAGCCCCCAAACCCTGAGGGACAAACTACTCACACTAGGACTAAGCCCCTCCATTTGCAACTGGGTCCTAGATTCTTAACAAACAGACCACAATCTGTGAAGATCCACAACTTCTCCTCCACCATAACCCTCAGCACTGGCTCCCCTCAAGGCCATGTGTTGAGCCCCCTCCTGTTCACTCCGTCCTCACCTCCTTCTACAGGTGTGCAGTGGAGAGCATCCTGTGCTCCAGCATCAACGTGTGGCATGGAGGCTGCACAGCTGCAGAAAGAAAAGCTTTGCAGAGAGTGGTGAAGGCTGCACAGAAGATGTTGGAGTCAGACTCCCCACCATCACAGACATCTACACCTCAAGATGCAGGAAGAGGTCCACCTGCATCATGAAGGACCACACTCACCCAGCACACACACTTTTTGCCCCACTCCCCTCAGGAAGGAGGTTGAGGAGCATTAAGTGTAGAACCACTAGACTGAGGAACAGCTTCTACCCTGAGGCTGTTGGACTCATGAATCTCTAACCAGAATAATCACTGTGATGTTACTTTAATTGGACATATGTCACTTTGTCTGTGCTGCTGATTATCCATGCTGCTGATTTCTTACCCATAGGTTGCTGTATTCATACTCATCTGCTCACAACAGACTCATGTTCAGGCTGCTGTTTAATACACCTTATTATATTATTATGGTTTAGCATATATCTTAGATCCTTGTATACTCTTTCTTGTTTATATACTTTACATTTTTTTTGCTAGTTTTGGGTGTAACTGGCACCTTGAGTACACAATTTAGTTCCACCTCATGTACCACATGTGATGTGAATGACAATAAAGAACCTTGAACTTTACCAAGAAAGACCAAATGAAATAAAAAGATATCTGGTAAAACATAAACTAAAGACAGAGATGGTCTTACTGTGTACAGACGTAAGTTAGTGTTTACAGTAGATTCAATAGACAGAGTCCATCTTAAAAAACATCGTGGAGGTTGTGACAGAAGGGACAGAGCAAAGCATGGCTGGCTCACGTGAGGTTCAATCCCCTGAGAATTAACTCGTTAGCACAATGTTGAGAAGACAAGAAGGCGACAGATGAGCTGCTGTGGTGACAAGGCCAAAAAAGAAGCGCCATCTCAAAAAGCCCGGTGTCGCCTGCTGCCGAGCTCCACTGACATCCACGAGAAATCCTCACTAATCCCCCCACGGCCAATCCGACGGGTCACCTGTACTGAGATTACATCCTCAGCCTGTGGACCACGTCTCCTGCGGACTTTGAAATCTATTTTTTCTTCTTCACACTTTTTAAGTGTTTTCTGGGAAAACCCTTTCAGGCCGCTGATGGATCTGGATGCAATGTTTGATGATATCTCGTGAAGATGAGTTTTTGGGGCGTATCGGGTGACATCATGAGTGGACTTCTCTGCCTGCATGTATTTGTGTGCTGCTTCAGTACGGCCCTGTCCTTCTGTCCATCCCAGTGTACGTGTGTCTTCCATGGCCGTGCAGATGGAACAGGAACCAGGTAACGCACCTGATCCACACAGAAACCTTTATTGTGGTGTAAATAAAAGCTTCAGCACAAAACGGCAGAACTGCTTCAGCTTCTGATTAAAGCCACCTGATCAATTTTGCCTCCAACTATAATGACAATAGAAAACAGTTTGAAAAGTGCTGCAGGGATCTTCAGAGTGACAAACATGACACAATATATAGAAAAGATTAACGGTTTTAAAAGAAATAGACACGATAAGTTGGACCCACCCTTGCTGGTGTATATTACAAAGGTGGGTTTTTGCTGAGTATCTTAGTACTTACCCAATAGAATATTGGTAAAATATCGTTTAATTTTGCATTAGCTTCCTTTTCTTTATCTCTGACTTTCAGATCTGTTCTCTGCAACGACCCAGACATGTCCGACATCCCCGTTAATGTTCCCGTGGACACGATCAAACTTCGTATAGAGAAAACTGCCGTACGGCGAGTCCCAACAGAAGCCTTTTACTACCTGGTGGAGCTTCGGTACCTGTGGATTACCTACAACTCCATAACCTCAGTGGATGCAGGAAGCTTTTACAACCTAAAGGTGCTCCATGAGTTGAGGTTGGATGGAAATATGATCTCTGTTTTCCCTTGGGAGTCCCTCAAGGAGATGCCCAGACTGAGGACTTTGGATCTTCACAACAACAGACTTAGTGCAGTCCCCACTGAGGCGACCCCGTACCTCCTGAACATCACCTACCTGGACATATCCAGCAACAAGCTGACGACCCTGTCCTCAGATCTTATGGACATCTGGCCACCTTTTAATGGTGTCCCTGTGTCTTCGAATGCCTCGCAGAAAGTCGTGTTAGGTAAGAAGAAAACGTTCTGTCCAGGTGGGTTTCACGGGATGTTGGGGGCAACTCATACCATACCATACCACCTTATTTATAAAGTGGTATGGTATGGTATGGTATGGTATGGTATGACTCAGGACACATCTTACCTGCAGTGATGGAGACGATCAGACCACATTTAAATGAGCTTACACACAGAAGTAGCAGACTGTTTGATTGACATTCACTAATTTATTGTCATATTTATCAGTAAAATTATTTGAAAAGGCATTTTTTATTGCAAAAATTATGTGCATTAAAGTATATAACAATATATAATAATGTAATGTAGTAAAGTTAAACAAACAAAATGATCAAGCCAGGATGATCTGTGATTTATATTTTTAAATATTATATTTTGATTAATTTCTTCAAACCTTAGACCTGAAACTATGAATGTTGCTTTTAAGGTCTCGCTGAAACTGTCTAATCAAAACTCAGTGTCTAAACAAACATTTATTTAAATTCAAAATGCACAACTTTTGCACTTTTATCCACACTAGCATGATGTCTGTACACAAAATCAAACTGTCATGTTTTATAACTAGAACAAGAGATAAACAGACAAAAAACTGTGACATTCAGAATGATCATGAGTTTAACACAAATCATGCAAACACAAACGAGTTGATCATTAAAGTAAAATCACTAAAACTTTTACCTTCAGCACAGATTCTTCTTATTTAAAACTTATTCCTGTTATTAATGAGAAATGTATAATTAGTCGTTAATAAAGTCTAACATTACATTTTTAACCAGGCTTGACCTGAAAATCCAACGAGGTTACCAACAATAAATACTAACAGCTGAAGAAGCAAACTTTATTTTTCACTTTAGTCTTTTTGTATCTCTTTAAACCGTCACACACAAAGTTCTGTTCAGCTTCTATTAGAGATAGCGTTGCTGCAGCGTTTCAATGTATAACTTAACACATTGTTGACTCGTTAACGGTAGTTATCGCTCCACGCTCAGCAGAACCCACAGGTTCTGGGACCTGCGACTGGAGCAAGTCCATGTTGGATAAGATGTCAGAATCACAACATCTGAAGCAGATGGAACATCTTCACGCACGTCAACAACATAAAAATTAAGAAATATGTCTAAAAATTATCATGAAGAACACCTTGATATCTATTCTATTTAATTCCTCCATTTTTTATTGTATTTTATGTATATTTTGATTTATCGTGTCTTTTGAGACTTTACACCAACGTAAATAAATGAATTAATAAGTAAAACATTTACACCGTACATAAACGTGGATTGAATGATGGTAAAGTAAAAAAAAAAACATTCATCCATTATCTTTACTCATTTTTTCATTTTTGGGTCATGGGGGGTCACTGGGGTCCAGATCCAGCCATCATTGTGTGAGAGGTGGGGGAGACCTGGACAGGTATCCAGTCCATCAGAAGAACACACCAGAGGCTCAGTGGTTAGCACTGTTGCCTCACAGCAAGAAGGTCCTGGGTTCAATCTCCAGTTGGACCTGGAGTCTTTCTGGGTGGAGTTTGCATGTTCTCTCCATGCTGCGTGGGTTTTCTCCAGGTACTCCAGTTTCCTCCCACAGACCAAAAACATGCATGTTAGACTGACTGGTAACTTTAAATTGTCCCTAGGTGAGAGAGAGAATGAATGGTTGTTTGTCTCTGTGTCCCTGGGGTGGACTGGAGACCTGTCCAGGTGCAGACGGCTCAGTGGTTATTCAAGTCTCTGTAGTAGAATATTATAATCAGCTGTATCAAATGCAGCACTGAGGTCTAACAGGACCAGTGTAGACACCTGCTCATTGTCTGAGGCCATGAGAATATCATTAGTAACTTTCACCAGTGCAGATTCAGGGCTGTGCTGAACTATAACCCTGACTGAAACTCTTCAGATTATTTCTTTGCAGATGATCATCTAACTAACCTGCAACTATTTTCTCTAGATTTTTTAGATGAATGTTAGATTAGATATAGGTCTATAGTTGACTGTGGTTCCTGAGTCAAGTTTATGTTTCTTAAGTAAAGGTTTAATTACAGCAATCTTAAAGCTCTGTGTTACGTAACCATTTATTAGAGACAAATTAAGCAGATCCAAGACGTGGTTATTATTTAAGGGAAATACGTCTTTAAACAGTCTGGTTGTGATGGGATCTAGCAGACATGTGGATGGTTTGGACGAGGTTATTATTTTTTACAGATCAAAGAGCTCGACAGGACAAAAACAGTTCAAAAATAAATCAGGTTCTAGTGACATTTTTAAAGTTGTCTCATCTGACACAGAACCAGAGGCAATAGTAGGAATGTTGGTTTGAATTTTTCCCCTAATTGAAACAATTTTATTTATAAATAATCTCATGAAGTCATCACTACTTATAGTTGTAGGGATACATGAATCAACAGAGAGAGGCTTTTTCATTAGACTAGCTATGGTACTGAAAAGGAACCTGGGGTTAATTTTATTCTCATTAATTAAAGATGAATGATATATAGTTATAGCTTTATGGAGCACTTTTTTATACATTAGCCGGCTATCTCTCCAGAATAAGTAAAATTATTCAACATTAGTGGAGTACCATTTTCTTTCCAGCTTTCTAGATGATTGTTTTAAAGTGCATAACTCAGAATTGAACCAAGGAACTAATCTCCTCTGATTGATTACGTTCTTTTTCAGCAGAGCAGTTTTATCAAGTGACGTTTGCAAAAGTTGTAAAATTATCAGCTAAATGATTTAAGTCACTGTTTTCTGATGCATTACTCTGCAAGACAGAGGAAAACGAAGGAAGAGAATATTTAACTTTGGTTACAGCGTTTCCTGATAAGCACCTGCTAAGGTGAAATTTACTCTCAGTGACTGCGTAGTCATTTATTGTAAACTCAAAGGTTATTAAACATGGTTAGACACAACAGGACTTTGGGGAGATATTACTAAGTCATTAATCTCGATGCCATAGGTCAGAACCAGGCCAAGAGTGTGATGATGAGAATGAGGAGATGTGCGGACGTTTTGGGTAAAACCAACTGACTCAAGTTTTTAAAGGCTATGCTTGAGCTTTCACTTTCAACATCTACATGAATATTGAAATCACCCATTATTATGACTTTATCAGTATTTAGTAGTAAGTCAGTTCAGAATTCTGAGAATTCAGACAAAAACAACATAGGAGTCTGGTGGACGATATATAACAAGTAGTGAGAGTGGCTGTTCCGTTTTCCATTTAGGATGGGACAGACTTAGAGACAGTGACTCAAAAGTATTATAACTAATAATTGGTTTAGCATTAATAGTCCTGACTGAAAAATAGAAGCTACTCCTCCACCTTGACCAGTTCTAGGAACATGACAATTTAAATAATTAGGTGGAGTTGATCCATTTATTCTAACAAAATCCTCCTGTTGTAGCCAAGTTTCTGTCAGACAGAATAAATCAATATGATGATCAGTTATCAGTTCATTAACTAACAGGGATTTAGAGGAAAGGGATCTGATGTTCAATAGTCCGCATTTAATTGTTTTATTCTTTTGTTCTGGTAAAGTAGTTGTGCCTATTTTAATAAGCTTTTCATTGTTAACATTATTAGAGCAGATTTTTTATTTTATTTAATTTGAGCCGTGGGCGAGTTGACACTGTTTCCATGAAGGTGTGGGTGGGGGTGTGGGGTGTGGGGTGTGGGTGGGTAACAGAGGAGAAGCAGCAAAGAGGTGGAGGACTACAACTCTGCTTCCTGGACTGGTTTCTAGACTGGGCCGTTAATTATCAATAATCTGGATGTCCAACTGTTTGTCTGGATGTTTAACTGTTTAACAAGTTAAGTTTTAGAGATGATTGCTGCTCCATTTAAGGTGGGATGGATTTTTACATCGTTTTAAATATTTCTGGACTACTCATTTCAGATAATAAGCACTTAAGTGCTGTTTAGACTGATCAAGAACTTTGCTATTTGTAACACTTACAGTATTTACTTGTTTAAATGATCAAATGTTAATTTATTACTATGTTAAAATGATATTTAAACCTCTTCTGACTGATCAGAACATGTATATTGTAAGTGATATGATGGTGTTTACAGTGACAGTGAAGCTAAAGTAAACTCTGCTCCCACAAAGCGGAGGGAGACCAGAGGCAGCTTAAAGGTGCTTTGCTCCAGTTAAGACAGAATAATCGGCCTGAAGGGCTTAGCGTGCACCAGGACACGTGTTTGAGTGCATCAGGTGTTTACAAGAAACAGAGACAGAAGGTCTGTTGTTTGACGGCAAAATGCTGATTTCCACAAAGTAGAAAGCAGTAAAGTGTTTTAAACGTTAACTCAGCGGTAGCTTTATAAATAAGTTACATCTGTCCCACAGTGAGAAAAACTCCAAGTGAGCACTGGAGCGCAGATTAACTCATGGTCTTTGAATGACTTGTGTCAGTAAAATAAAACATTTTGAGCCTTGAGCATTTTTAATGACACAAATTTGAGGCATCCAGTAGCATTTTCTAACTATACAGAAGAAGAAAAAAACATGAAATAATAAAAAAAGAAGCAGAATACACAAATCTGATAAAAAAAAACACAAATATGTACATGCATGGGAGTACTACAGTACATTCACAATTAACCTATATATGTATACAGTACATACATACACACACGTCTAAGCATACATATTTATATATACAGTATACACATATGTTTAAGTACATGTAAACATACATACACATACAAACGTGTCCGGGGTGCTGCAGATTTACACGGCTCTATTTTTACTGTACGGGGTGGAGTTGAACAGTCTGATGGCTTGAGGGACAAAGGTCTTCCTGAATCTGTCCCTGGAGCAGGGCTGAGACAGTAGTCTACTGCTGAAGAAGCTCCTCTGCTTCAAGGTGGTGCCGTGCAGAGGATGGTCAGCATTGTCCATGATGGATAGCAGCTTACTGAGGAATATCCTATGGATATCCTCTAAAGGGTTTCCTCTAAAGGATATTCTCTAAAGGATATCCTCTAAAGGATTCCCTCTAAAGGATTCCCTCTAAAGGATACCCTAGATCCTTTCCAAACTTTACATTCTGCCACAAACAAACTGGGCTTGATGTATTTCTGGTTTAATGAGACTCCACTGCTAAAATGCAAACATAACAGCAACATGTTTTTAATATAACTGCCATTAGGCCAAAAAAAATAAATAAATAAATAAAAAAAATAGAAAAAATAGGACAACAATTATATTAAGATTAGATTATTGAGCATGGACTTTGTTGACAACAATTATAATTTCTGAATGTTTTTGTTCTCAGGCCTTCAGGACAATCCCTGGTTCTGTGACTGTAAAATCTCAAAGCTGATTGAGATATCCAAAATGGCTGACACACCAGTGGTTTTGATGGACCTGTTCTTGACCTGTGCTGCACCAGAACATTTGGCAGGTGTCCTTTTCCAGCGTGCTGAACTTGAGAACTGTGTAAAACCATCAGTGATGACATCTGCAACAAAGATAATGTCCCCTTTGGGCAGTAACGTCCTCCTACGATGCGATGCCACAGGATCACCAACACCAAAACTCTACTGGACAAAGTCAGATGGCTCACCCGTCAACAACACTGGTATTATTTTGTATAACGTAACTATTTTACAAAAAAAAAGTTAAGTTTCTTGAGAATGTTTGATGATTTATATTGCCTGATGGTACAAAGCCAAAAAAAAATGTGATCAACAAGTCCTGGTTAATTCTGACTTTTGTGTTTTTGTTCCACTTTCTAGTTCAGGAGTCGCCTGGGGAAGGCATAAAGTGGTCCATTATGAGCTTGCATGGAATACAGTACAAAGATGCTGGGAACTACAGTTGCAAAGCTAAGAATGTTGCTGGGACTGCGGAAGCCACCATTTCTCTATCAGTTGCAGGAACCGTCAGCACCACCACCCCTCCGCTGAGACCTGGTGGTGGGACTGGGCCGACTGGCCAATTCATGACGCTCACTCCCCCAACAGGCAACTCCAAATCACCGTTCATGATGACCACGGTCTTCCCAAGATTATCAACAACTCTTTCTGCTGTCCAGAGACAGCTCAGTTCAGTCTCCAGTAAGGGCTCACTTAAGCAAATAAAGAATCAGCAAGGAGGAAATGGGAAAAAACTTGCAGCAGATGAAAAGAGCAAGAAGAACGATGTTTCACGACCCATTAAAGACCTACAGATTATGGAAGAAACAGCTGACAGTGCGGTGTTGCTCTGGACTGCAGGCGGATTACTAAATGATGCTCCGCTTACTGTCGTATACTCACCCTACGGGGACGATGACACTAAAAGGACGATGGAAACCAGTGCTGGGAGTGGAAAAGTGCTCCTTGATGGACTGTCACCTGGAATGAGGTACTCTGTTTGCCTGGTAGCAAAAGGGAGTCCTGCTGGAAAAGACCCTTGCATTGACTTCTACACAGAAGATGGAGAGCAGAACCAGCTTTTCTTCATTATTAGCGGCATTGCTTGTGCTCTGGTTCTGCCTCTTATTGCTTTACTGATCTACAAAATTCTCGCTCTTTACTGCAAAGGACAAAACACCGCTTTGAATGAGGACGAGCTGCAAAAAGAGAGTTACGTTAAGTTTGAGACAATTTCAATGAAACAAAGGACTTTGAACTCCCACCCCACTGAGCTTTGGGCCAGAAGGCCAACTAACGAATCGGAGCGCCTGCTGCTGTGTTCACGGTCGAGCATCGACTCCCAGATGACCTATAAGAGCGACGGCTCCCGCTCTGAATATCTCTGCTGATGTCAAAGACCGTGACGCCACGCTAAAACTGGAAATTATATTTGCCTTTCTGAACTTGACAAACAACAACAACAACAACAAAATCATCTTTAAAATTTTGTTTTCTAATCAGTGGGCCAATAACAAATACTGGGATTCACTGACAGAATTAGGGCAGCATGGTGGGACAGTTGGTAGAACTGCTTCCTCTCAGCGAGAAGGTCGCCGGTTCAAATCCCAGCCGGGTGCCTTTCTGGGTGAAGTTTGCATGTTCTCTCCGTGTGCGTGGGTTTTCTCCCACAGACCAAAAACATGCATGTTAGGCTGACTGGCAACTAAATTGTCCCTAGGTGAGAGAGAGAGAATGATTGTTTGTCTCATTTGTCTCTATGTGTCCCTGTGATGGGCTGGAGATATGTCCAGGGTGTCCCTGTGATGGGCTGGAGATATGTCCAGGTGTCTCTGTGATGGGCTGGAGATATGTCCAGGTGTC